GAGAGGAAAATGTCGGCCACGATATCTTTCGTTCGGTCGCGAAAGATAGGCGTGCACACGGGCGAATAAAGCTCCGTTCAAAAGAGCGTTTTTGTTCTCTCCGTGTACGTGTTTAGCGCGCTGTTGCCCTCCCGGTGAAAGAGAAAACCACCGTGTACGTGCCTCTCTACGCGCGCCTAAACGAACGAAGCGCGTAAAAATAGAGGCAGGGCCGTTTATTCGCCGCGGACGAAACAAAGCGGCCGTTTTAGCGGACGGGTCGCCATAAAAATCCGAGTAAGGGATATTTAGACTCGCGCCGGTCCAAATGCCGGTAAAAATTCTACGTGACCGGAAACCGAGCGAAATGAAAACTTGCGAGTTCGGTTTAATTTTTTCGTAGCGAAACTCTGCGCTGTTGAACTCGCTCTCGAGCAAATTTTTTTCTCGCTAATTGCCGCTCCCGCTCGCGAAATAATCGCCGCGGAGTTATCTCTATGATCGTCTCGAGAGCAAAAACGAGAAGACGAGAATAAGTTTACCATCATATACTTTCTGCATATAATTCGAAATAAAATTCTCTCGAAATTTGTTTCGGTCATTACGTTAATTAGAATTATCTCAGTTGGTCGATCATAAATAATATATTAAAACATATTAAAATATCTCCTCGAGGATAAGTTTGACCTTACACTTTGTAATAACACGAAATAAAATTCTCTCGAAATTTGTTTTAGCCATTACTTAATTAAAATACATTAATTAAAATTGCTCGATCATAAATGATATATTAAAATATATTAAAGTATCGTCTCGAGGATAAGTTACATGTTTACACTTTAATAATTCGAAATAAAATTCTTACGAAATTTCTTACAACCATTACGTTAATTAGAATTAATTAGAAGTTTTCGATTGTCACGTGAATAATACATTAATCTACAATTATCTCGAGAGTGACTCGATTTCGAAATATCGAAAGGGAATCCAATTTTCTGAAAAGAAAAGAAGAAAAATTCAACGGGGACCGCGTTTTCGGTTGCACACAACGAAGCTTCGTAAATGAATCCACGATTACAATCGCGTTTGCATCCGTGGCGGCAGGTGTGCGTGGAATAATGCGAGCGCGGGAAAACCCTCTCCGCATCTAGATGCCGGCGTATTACGGTCGAGCACCGTTCGGCTAAAGTTAGCCTCGATGGGAACAGGAATTAATGCCACGATCGGGCAAAGTTTGAAGCTTAATAATTCGACGCGTCCGTGCGGATTGAACGTAACGAGACAGACGAGACGCATTGTACTCGCTTTCCACTCACCGGAACGCGATATATATCCTCGATATACACAGTGTGATGCGCAGTTGCCATCTTCCGACCCGCGCACATTCTAAGATCACTCGAGCTTAAAAACTGTAAATATTTTGAACGAGTAGAGAGAAAAAAAAACACAAATTCGCTCTCGCTCCTATCAATCTATACTATATATATATATATATATATATATATA